TCTGTGCTCTTTTTTTTTGGTGGCAAAAAGTTTATAGATTTATGTGAAAGATAACTTAATCATCTCACCTCCTACCATCTAAAAAAGGAGACACAACACTTCCATGGTCTGTCTCCAAAGGAACTTTCTAGCCTGTTCCCCACCCTCCCTCTGCATGGACTCTGTTCCTGCCACATTGCTGCTTCTTTCTCTGGCGTGGACTCTGCTATGTCCCTTTGCCTTTGCTGGTGAAGTTTCCTCCGTTCCACATGCACTGCCCTTCTCTGTCTTTAGGACTGAAGGATTGTCCTTCGGTGAGGGGTTTATTTCCCCACTTCCCTTGGTCATCTCTTTCTTCGTGCTTCCTCAGTGAGTAATGCAGGCCTTCATTTTGCCCGATTCCACTCCAATTCACCATTGATGTGCTTCGCTCTGTAAAGCTGTGAGCACTCACTCGCTTCTTCTCTCCTTCCTTCTTCTTTTTTCCAATTATTTCACATTTCCACTCTGTCCTAGGAACTGTACAATAGCCTAAGACGATGGTGATAACTAAGGTATAAATCCTACCCTCAAGAAAAGGCTCAGCACAGACAAGTCATTGAATAAGAATTAAACAGACAAATGAGTGGGCTTGAGATATAGAGGGGAGACAATCATATATCATATGTAGAGGTATAGCAGTCATAATGTCAGATGCCTACTAGAAACCTGGGGAGAAACACGGTAAGTGGATGCACTGTAGACATGTGATAGATACCCTAGGATAGGCATCACCCTAGGATAGGCATCGGATCAACTCCTGCCCATTCTTTCTTAGTAACTTTGAGCAAAATGCTTTAGCTTTTTGATGCTCCCTCACCACAGCTGTGAAACAGAATCAACAATCCTAATCTCCACAGGTTTCTGTGAAAATTAAATGTGTAGCAAATGCCTACAGCAAGAGCTGGATATATTTCAGCATTCTAAGTTCCTCCCTCAGTTAACTCCAGAAAGAATATGTAGCAGTTTTAAGTGCATTGTTGGATAAATGAATGGATAAATAAGTGAATTAATGAGTGAGTGAGTGAGGCACATTGTCACTGGAGTGAACTCCAGGGCCCGAGGGCACAGCCAGAGCCTGCAGGGCACTGCAGCACCTCTGCTTCCAGGGCCGCAGTCCTGGAGATCATCCTGTGCAGCTGCCTGCCCCCTCCCAGGGCCCAGGCCAGGGCTTCTTCCCCTTGCAGGGGGCCCCAGTAGCTCATTTTTCTCCTTTTTGTATTTGGGGATATGTGATTTTACTGTCAGCATGGTGTTCCTAATAAAAGGCAAATGATGTCCAATGTGACTTGGAAAAAAATGTACAAACAACAACAAAATTATATGTTCTTTTTTCCTGTAGTGTTCGCAGGGAGAATATGTGACTTGTTTGCTGTCAATACGGCTTATAATGACACGGTGCACAGATGCACTGCCAGGCGTGTGCCGTGCTCATTATACACATGTATTAAATGTAACACGATAGGAGTTTGGCTGCCGTGCAGGCAAGCACTGCCCTGGGGCACATGTGGAGTTCTCGCACCTCCTCCCCTGGGACTTAGAGGGTGACAGTGAAGTGGGCAGCAGCACAGACTGCAGTGGAACATCTGGGGTCTTCAGGATGATTCAGGTGACACTGAGGGGAAATGTTAGAGATGACAGGCACTTAAAGAGGCGTCTCTGCTCCTCTCCACAGCAACACAGAATCACAAAGTAAGTAGTTCCCAAGTTCTCAAGGGCCTCCTAAATGCCAGGCTTGGGAGTAGGAAGCTCAAAGGTTAGGATGCAAAAGCAATGAGAGAGGGAGAGAGAGAGAGAGGCTGAGAGAGAGAGAGAGAGAGAGAGAGAGAGAGAGAGAGAGAGAGAGACAGAGAACGATGATGCAGGCCAGGGCATGATGTTGTATCAAATGGTAGAGGAGGAGACCTACACCAACCCAGGGCTACCTCTCCCTGACTCTTCATGGAAGGAGAACACAGAGGATGAAACTCAGAGGATGAAACTCAGAGAAAACAGAGTGGACATGAAGGGTTCTTAAATGTATCACTGACATTTCTATGTGAGGAACAAATGTCAGGGTTGGTGTCTGAAAGGACCTATCAGGAAATACTGGGCTCTTGGTGAAATCCGGGAGGCAGACAGGCCCAGCATACATTTCAAGGATGGACTGGACACTGAGGGCATGAACACTGCTGTTGACTCTGACTGTATCTGAAGAAGACATTAGTGGAAACCTTTTGCTATTTTTCTCCACAGGAAGGGATGCACCAGCTGCCTAGGGGTTGAAGTTACTCAGAGAAAATGGTTAGATGAAAACATTGATGAAAATGTCTCTGAAACATATGCCATACTCATTAAAAACAGGAGCAATAACAATGATCATGGCCAGTGTTTATTAAGGAAGTATCAAGTCATGCAGGCACACTGCTATTTGTCTTCTGTGACTCATCACATTCAGTACTCACAACAAAACTCTAAGGTACTAGCAGGACCCTATATAAAGACAAGTAGAAGAAATTTAGTGAATTAGGCAACTTGTTCAAGGGCCGCTAGGTAAGCAAACGCATAGCTTGTGTTTAAATTGAGCTCACTTGACTTCTGAGTTCACTCTTTTAATCACCAAATTGCTGAGCCAGGCTTTGGACCAACCACAGCAGGTTGGCATATCTGTTCCAGTCGTCCTTTCCTATACCCGAATCCATGGATGTTCAAGTACATTATGTAAAATGGCATGGTATTTACATACCACCTCTGACATCCTCTGGTATGCCCGAGATCATCTCTGGGTTACCCTTCTCACCTAGCGTACTGCAAAGGCTGTGAAAACAGGTGTTGCGTGGCACTTTTGGCACAGGCCTGGATTTAAGTCCAAGCCTACTTGGCTCCTTTATTTTATGAAGTCACCCTCAGTGAAGAACACATCTTGCTGCCCATTAGGCAACCTTTAAGAAAAAAGAGTGTGAGTCTGAGCATCAAATTTTTATAGATTTTTGACACATTTGCTGTCATTCCAATCCTTATGAATTTGCGGGTTTGTGGAGGTATCAAGAAGCACCTTTCAAGGGTGCTCAGGTTTATGGCAGGAGGATGGGACTCAGGCAGTCAGAGATGTTGCTGGGGGTGGACAAGTCAGGCCATGGCAGCCTGATATGTCCCATATCTGAGCCAATTAATAATGAAAAGAAGTAAATTAAAAACACCAAATGTTAGTGGTCTTTCATGGTACCTTACAAAAATTATATTACGCAACAGGGTGCACAGCCATATGTGTGTACACACATGCACACGTGCACATACAAACATTCACACACAGTAGTTCCTTGGCATCAGGTCCAAGACCCCTCATCTAAACTAGCATCACTGGATGCTAAAATCCTTTATGTAAAATAGAATGGTATTTAAATACAACATACACACACCCTCCTGCATGCTTTCCATCATTTGCAACACCCAATACAATACAAAAAGTTGCTGTACTGTGTAGGTTGGAAGCAAAATGTCTGTGCGTGTTTAGTACAGATGAATTTTTCCAAATATTTTTAATTTACAGTTGGTTGAAGTGTGGGTGCAGAATCTGCAGATATGGAGGACCAACTGTCTGTGATGTAGATTATATATACATATTTTATGCATACATACATATATATATATATACATATATACCATAGATACTCATATGTGTTATCTATATATATACTGCCACAATTAGAAGAGCACACACATACTCATATATAGATGGGTGTGTGTGTGTGTGTGTATTCATTTTACCAAGAATTATACCAGGTAATCTATATTCAACTCCTATGTACCTGGGTCACACTATGCATTGACAAGCACTTGGTTACTTAACCTCCACAACAACCTGATGAGCTCATTATTACTGTATTAGTTTTTCAAAGGAAAAACCCCAGACTCAGAGAAGAGCCTCTCCACCTCCCCCAGGCCTGTTGGCTAACAGCCACATGAGGTGTGCTCCCACCTGGTGCTGCTGTTTGTCTGTGTGATTCCTTGGCTCCTCTGTGAGCTCTGAAGCTCACACTGACATCTGCTCACTTCCTGTCTCCATGGCTTAGCCCTAGATTCCACTAAACACTTTTGCATGTTGTGAGATGAATAAAGAATGTATGCCCTTATACTTCAAGGAGGGCTAGGCAAGATCTCTTCTCCCTAAACGGCCTCCAAAGACTGCTTCCTCTTTCAAAAACTATCACTTTTTCCAAATAAGTCATCAAATATCATCCTCTAGGAACTTCCTTGTTAAAACACTTTAACTGACATGCAATAACTATACATATGTATGAGGTATAATGTACACAAGCACATTGTATAGTGATTAGATCAGGGCATTTAGTGTATCTCTCCCCTCAAACATGTGTTACACAGAGGTAGAGACTAGAACAGTCACCAGAGACTAGAGAGAGTTGTGTGCCAGCCAGAGCAGGGCAGGATGGTCATTGCACAAAGCTTCCTTACAATCAGGTAGGAGAAACAAGTTCCAGTGCCCTGTAGCCACTAGGTTAGCTATGGTTAACAAGCTTGTAATGCATATTTCAAAACATGAGAAGACTTGATCTTTAAATATTCTGCATCTCCTCTGCTATTGTTTCTTCATGAAGTTTCTTGCATGAAGTTTCATTTTTGTGACTTTGCTTCTGTCTCCTACTGATCTGTAAGTTCCTTCACAGAAAAGAGAAATAAAGAGATGTTGGCTTACTGAGCTGGGACACAGTGCCAGCACATCAGCGCCCCCACCTACATGGGTCCCTTTCACCATCATAACAACTCTTAAAAATAGTTACTATCTGCCTTTCACAGGACAGAAACTAGGGGCTCAGAGACTGGAATAATTGTGGTGATGGGATACAACCAGGACAAGACAGAGCAGAGGTGCAAAGTTGTGTCTATCTGACTCCAAAGCTGTACCAGCCCCAGCTCTCATGGCCCAAGGTCTGAGCTTGCCTGCCAGCTATCACCCACCTCTCTCTCTGCCTCTCCCGCAACAGGCCCTGACGGTGATGAGCCTGTGCAGCAGCGTGGAGCACTGCAGCGAAATGCACTCCGGCATCTCTGAACACCACACAAGGTATGCCAGAGAGAGCAGGAACAGTTGGTGAGCAGTTGGTGAAAGGCTATTTTTATGCTAGGGTTGCCTAGAGAGAAGGGGAAAAAAAGAGTGGGAAAAAAACACTGTTTATAAAGAAGCCACAATTAATAAGGTCTTTGTTAGCTTTTTGGATTTAGATTTTCAAGTCCATTGCTTTGAATTTGAAAAGAAACAGGAAGGTCCCTGAAGGGTCAGCTCCCCCGCTTCCAAAGCATGAAGGCACTTTGGGAACCACTTCAAGCTGCATGTGGAAGATTTTAATTATTCAGCAGGAGTGCAAAGAGGCTCTGAATTCCTCTGCACAGCCTCTCCGCAGATCGTGCATACGGTGCTCAGTGTGGGTGCTAAAGAAGGCAGGGTGGGGCAGGGAAAGGAAGTGCCTCCCTCAGGACATCGCTGAGAACCAGGCCATTGCAACTCCTTGTCCACCGCTTCACATCTCTCTCACACCTTGGGATGGATGATATTATTTCTGTCTTAACGATGAGAACACAAAGCCTGTGTTCTCATCGTTAAGACAGAAATAATAGCATCCATCCAAGTGGGTTACTGCACATGCAAACATGTCCAGTAAACCTTAAAAGCATTCAGAGATGAAAGCTGGTTTTTGTAGAGCTCCCCACTTTCCTTCTTTTTACACATAAATTCATCCTGCTAGCATTTAAAATCTGTATAACAGTAATAGATGCATTGGTGAGTCTGCTTAGACTATGCTTGGTAGGCTCCTATTTTGCTACATTGGATCTCTGCATTGACACTATTAAGTAGGTGCCATAACCATCCCCATGTTTGAATTGATGTAGCTAGCATACAGAGGTTAAGGCATCAGATTGAGGTTAATGAAAGAGTCAGCAGGGGGCGCTGCTCTGCGGCACACAGTTGGACTGACTGCAGCTTGCTCCCATAGTTCGGGCCTCGCTACACTAGGATCCTCCTATCAATCAAACAGCCAGCAGGAGGACAGGTGCTCTGCTATGGTCGGATTTGTGACTCCACCCCCAAGAAAAACAAAGACATCAGAGTCTTAGTCCCAATACCTCAGAATGTGATCGTGTTTGAGATGAGTCTGTACAAAAGGAATTAAATTAAAATGAAGCCACAAGAGTGGGCTGTAGCCAGTGTAACCCATGTCCACATGGGTTCTTTGGACACAGAAGCAGTGGTGTGTGGAGGCGGAGGGGAGCGGGGGAGGCAGAAAAAGATGAAAAAGTGAAAGCCAAGGAGAGAGGCCTGGGCAAGAACCCGCTCTCCTGGCCCACAGAAGAAAGCAATGTCAGTGTTTTAACTGTTTAACAATTCAGAACCAAGAGATATCTCATTCCTGTTGGGTAAGATGACCAATTTGTGGCACTTCTTGACTAGAAAACTAGTATGTATTTCAACTTCCCTTTACAAATGGGGTGCTTTTCTATTTAACAAATATATATATATATATATATATATATATATATATATATATATATATAAAGGGGGGAGATTAAGATGAAAGAGGACATAACAACACAGGTCAGAACAGAACAATTTAAACAATATAGTGTTTTGCCACAGGATAACCCAACTTAACAGTAGCTACCACAGTGTCTCTTTCCTTGAAATATTTGAGTATGCCTTCATACACTATCAAACATAATAAGACAGTGTGAAACCATTCAAAAGGGTAAAAGTATTACAGGGTGTTTAGAACCAGCTAACAGAAAACAAACAACGGTTTCTATGTTATCTCCTTGTCTATAAAAATTTTTGTTTATACTATCACATATAATAAAATCCAATAAGATACAACATGATATAGCCGATGGAGACAGAAGAGAAAAAGCTTGATGGGACTTCAAAACAAGATGATATTAAATCAGCACTAGCTATTATATTGTCTTGTTTTCTTCAAAATAACTGTTCATACCCTCACAGACAATAAAATCAAACAACCCAGAACAAAACCATTTTAATTAATGAATGAAAACATTATAAGGCTTCAAAGCAATGTAATGTGGAATCATGTTTGCCACATACTTTTATGTATTCTTACCATTTCTTACACTAAGGAAACTATTCAGTATTTATACATGTGAGTTTGATTTAGTTTGCTTATGAGTATGGTCTCAAGTTGTGCCTGTTTATTTATAAATATCTCCATGTGATCATTCTTTATAGCTGAGTAGTACTCCATTGTATAAAAATACCACATCTTTTTTATCCATTCCTCAGTTGATGGACACTTAGGTTGTTTCCAAGATCTGGCTATTACAAATTGTGCTGCTATAAACATGGGTGCACATATATCACTGTGGTATGATGCTTTCAGTTCTTCTGGGAATATGCCTAGAAGCGGAATAGCTTGGTCGAGTGGCACTTCCAATTCCAGCTTTCTGAGGAATCTCCAGACTGATCTCCACAATGGTTGTACCAGTCTACGCTCCCACCAACAGTGCAGGAGGATTCCTTTTTCCCCACAGCCTCTGTAGCATTTGTTGTTGGTGGTTTTCTTGATCCTGGCCATTCTTTCAGGAGTGAGATGAAATCTCATTGTGGTTTTAATTTGCATTTCTCTAATGAGTAATGATGATGAACTTTTTTAATGTATTTATTTATCAGTTTTATTTCTTCATCTGAGAATTGTGTATTCATCTCAGATGCCCATTTTTGGATTGGATCTTTGAATTTTGGGGGTCTGATTTTTTAAAATTCTTTATATGTTTTAGACAGAAGTCCTTTGTCTGAGGGACAGTTCACTAAGATTTTTTCCCAGTTTGTGAGTTTTTTTTCACTATGCTGGAGATTTCTTTTGACACGCAGAAACTTTTTAATAAGATGTGATCCCAGTTATTGATTCTGGAAAGTATTTCCCTTGCGGTTTGAGTCCTATTCATGAATTCTCTACCTACCCCTATGTCTTCAAGATTTTTACCCAATTTGTCTTCTAATAAATTTAGTGTTTCTGTTTTAATGTTCAGATCTTTGATCCATTTAGATTTTAGCTTAGTACATGGTGATAGGCATGGGTCTAGTTTTAGTTTTTGGCATATGGAGAGCCAGTTTTTCCAACACCATTTATTAAAGAGATTGTCGTTCTTCCAGTGAATATGTTTGGCCCCTTCATCAAAGATAAGGTGGTTGAGTGTTTTTGCAGTTGTGGTTGTATCTTCTAATCTATTCCATTGATCTTAGGCTGTGTTTTGATTCCAGTACCATGTTGATTTTACTACAGTTGCTTTGTAGTATAACTTCAAGTCAGGGATTGTGATGCCTCCTGCCTTCTTGCCTTTGCTGTTTAGAACTGTCTTTGCTATTCTAGGTCTCTTCTGGTTCCAGATGAAATAAATAGGGTGTTTGAAGAAGACGAGGTGGAGGTGTCCTGCTCAGGCGAGTGAAGGGACTGATGGCTGAGATCCGATCCTCTGTTCTGTGAACTCTGCACTGCTGGCTGCAGAGCTCCTGGGGGTAGCTACTCCCTGGCCACATTCACTGATCCCCAATATTTACTTCAGTGGTTGGCATAGCATCAGCCAATGCTAGTCCAGCGAATGAATAAATTGATGTTCTCTCTGGCACTTTACCCAAAGCCTCACAACTACATTAATATCATTAAAGAAGAAACGCACATCACCCGGAACATGAGTTCCAATAGCTCTCGGTAGCTGTCACAACAAGGAGTTTCATACTTTGTATTCACATACCCTTCCCATAGAGACTTAAAATTGTGAATACATTTTGAAATAACCTTCTCAGAAACTTTGTTTTGTGAATTGTCAGGTGCAGAACTTCAAAATATTAATTCTTACTTTGCTTGGAAGCCCTTGGTGCATCTGCCTTTCTCTCTCTGTTTCTGCCCATGTGGCAATGTCATCACATGCTTTTCTCTGTGCTTCATGGACACTCCTCAGTCTTACCCATTTTTCCAAGCCTTAAACTCTGCACTGCTCCAGATTCTGCTTTTCTGTCTAGCTTCTTATAAGAACCCCATCCTGTCTGTGTCTAAAGTATTAAGTGGTGACAGCACCCAAACCTACCTCCAAATTAGACTCCTATGTTAAATAACTTTCTTGATGTTTCTTATGATACATAATACATATGTTAAAATCAATATATGTTGACTTCCTGATTTCTTCTCTTATCCCAAATAGAATATAGCTTGATCTGTTGTCTCCCCACCTTAGCAAAGGGCAGCGCTATCCCTCCATTCTTAGGCAGAAACCATGGTGTCTTGCTTAAGTCTTTGTTTCTGTATCCTCTAACACCCAGTCATTCAACTAATTCCATTTGCGATACCCAAACAGGACTTCGGAATTTGGTCTGGTGACCTCCACTCAGATATCACAACCCCCCTTTGCTTAGATGATCCTGTTAGCTTCTTGCCTGGTGTCCTGCATCCACCCACGAACCCATACAATCTTCCTCTCCATGAGGTGTTACACGTTTCCCTGTCACCATCTTCCAACACACCCTTACAATTTAGCTCCCCACTGCCTCCTTGACTTCATTTGCTTCATTTTCCCACGCCCTGAATCGCACCCGGTCTTACTTACATTGTGACTAAGTTCACAAACAAATGACTGTTCGGTGGGCCCAAGATCTTCCTGAGGGAGTGACTTCAGTGGGAATCTTTGAATGACCAAACCTCACCTCCATTCTTTCTAACACAGGACTAACTAGACCACACATTGGTCGACTCCTTGTAAAACATTAATTTTCTTTGCATAGTAGTTTCATTATGATCTCTTCAGCCAGAAGAGCAATACCCTAACGTGGAGCAAATGCCTTCTCACTGCTGGTAAAGCTTTGAGTGAGGCTTACCTCAGTCATGTGGTTTCAGGAAGGTAAAGAAGCTGAGATCGCTGTTTGACTTCTGCCCATCTTAGTGCTGGGATGTTTTTACTCAACTTGGTTCCTCTTAGCCCTTCCCTTCTTGTTCCCCGCCACCAGAGTCGGACCTCTGCACAGTGCATCAGTGGCTTACTATGCCTAAGTGAAGCGGAGAGGAA